TTGTCCTAGCCAGTTTGGCTCAGTGGATAGAGCGTCGGTCTGCAGACCAAAGGGTCCCGGGTTCAATTCTGGTCAAGGGCACGTACCTCGGTTGCAGGCTCTTCCCTGGACGGAGCCCTGGTCGGGGCTTGTGCAGGAGGCAAACCAATCAATGTGTTTCTCTCACATCGATATTTCTCTCTGTCTTTCCCTCTCTCTTCTACTCTCCCTAAAAAATCAATGGGAAAAAAATCCTCAGGTGAGGATTAACAACAACAACAACAACAAGATATTTTTATCCATTTCAGAGAGGACGGGAGAGGGAGAGAGACAGAAAAACATCAATGATGAGAGAGAATCATTGATCAGCTGCCTCCTGCATGCCCCCACACTGGGGATCGAGTCTGCAACCCAGGCATGTGCCCAGACCGGGAATTGAACCATGACCTCCTGGTTCATAGGTCATCACTAACCACTGAACCACACCTTATGAGTAGGTACTATTATCAACTTCACCTTACCGATGAGACTGAAACTTAAAGAAGTTAAATAACCTGCCCAAGGCCATACAACTTGCTAGTAAGGGAGCTGGGATTTGTTCCTAAACAATCAGACTCCAGAGCCCAGGCTCAAAGCCATTGCAATAATTAGAACCCCAGCATCACAGATGAGGAATCTGAGGCTCAAAGAATATTCCCGTCCGTCCTCCACCTTTCCCAGCTTCTTAGATCATCATCGTGGCCCTTATTCTCAGCAGATAACCTGGTTTCCCATCTTCTACCCTACTTAGCCCTTAGATGTTGGCATTTTTAAAAAAATATATTTTATTGATTTTTTACAGAGAGGAGGGGAGAGGAATAGAGAGTTAGAAACATTGACAAGAGAGAAACATCCATCAGCTGCCTCCTGCACACTCCCCACTGGGGATGTGCCCGCAACCAAGGTACATGCCCTTGATCAGAATCGAACCTGGGACCCTTGAGTCCGCAGGCCAACGCTCTATCCACTGAGCCAAACCAGTTAGGGCTAGATGTTGGCATTTTTTAAGGCTATATCCATGGCCTTCTCTGATAACTCTAAACCACGACTCTTGACTTTTTTTGGTCATGGACCCCTTTTGACGATTTGATAAAATTTTTAACTTTCTCTTTGGAAAAATGTACATAAACACACAAGTGTATTCAGTTTCAGGGGCTACAGGACTCCTGAAAACCCACACCTAGGTCCCAAGCTAAGAACACATGCTCTCACACACTGAAACAAGTTCTAGATACATTAAAGAACTAAAGTTAAAATGTAAAACGAAACAATAAAAAATAACATTGAAATACAGAGGAATTTGCTTCACATATTGTTGGGCTACGGAAGGTCTTCTAAGAACCCAGAAGCCACCAAAAAAAAAAAAAAAAAAGCCCTGGCCAGTATGGTTCAGCGGCTAGAGTGTCAGCCCATGGATTGAAGGGTCTGTCAAGGGCCTGTACCTCAGTTGGAGGCTCAATCCCCAGCCCTGGTCAGGGTGAGTGTGGGAGGCAACCGGTCAATGTGTATCTCTCACATCCATGTTTCTCTCTCTCTGTCTCTCCCCCTCCTTTCCATTCTCTCTAAAAAAAAAAATCAATGAAAAAATATCCTCGGGTGAGGATTAACAAAAACAAACAAACAAAGGCAGATAGTTTTGACTTTATTTACATGTTTAAATTCTCTAAAAGGTTTTCCCACCAGTAAAATGATACAGCTTTATGAAAATTCTATGACTGTTCATTAAGGAGAGCACAGTTTGCAACATAGAAAATCTCTGTGCAACATTGATGTTCTCTTACCTCCGGTGACAATGACATTGGCTTTTATACAGTAGCAAAAAGTGTTGGCTCCTCTTGGCATGGAAAACTCTCTGACAGGCCTGGGAAACACAAACCTGGTGTCAAACTTGGGTTTTCCTGAATGAAGCTAATTCTAATTTAAGTAGATTATGTTCAATAGGGCTCATTTCTCAGTTGGTTATAAATCCATTTACCCACAGAAAAATACTGTAAGTAATTATTAAATCCGCACTGACACACAGATTTATTTACTCCATAATGTGGTGATATTAGCACAACACTTTGTATTGTTTCTATTGAAGAAAAAATTTCCAGCCCAGCAGGCATGGCTCAGTGGCTGAGCATCAACCTATGAACCAGGCGGTCATGATTTGATTCCCAGTCAGGGCACATGCCTGGGCTACAGGTTCAATCCCCAGTGTGGGGCGTGCCCATTGTTCCAGACGTTAAGTTGGGCACCTCATGTGAATTACTTTAGGCAATAAATACACATATACATATACTAGAGGCCCGGTGCACAAAATTTGTGCACTGGGGGGGGGGTTGTCCCTCAGCCCAGCCTGCACCCTCTCCAATCTGGGACCCCTCAAGGGATGTCCGACTGCTGGCTTAGGCCCAATCCCACAACTGGCAGTCAGACATCCCTCTCACAATCCGGGACTGCTGGCTCCCAACTGCTTGCCTGCCTGCCTAACTGCTCCCCTGTAGGCCAGATCGCCCCAACTGCCCTCCCCTGCTGGCCATCTTGTGACAACATGGGGGCAGCCATCTTGTGCGAGGGTGTGATGGTCAATTGCATATTATCTCTTTATTATATATTACTTCAGAGAGAAAGGGAGAGGGAGAGAGAGATAGAAACATCAATGATGGGAGAGAATCACTGACCAGCTGCCTCCTGCACGCCTCACACTAGGGATTGAGATTGAAACTGGGCATATGCCCTGACCAGGAATCCAACTGTGATCTCCTGGTTCATAGGTCGGTGCTCAATCACTGAGCCACTGCAGCCAGGAAACTTTTATTAGATGGTAAGGTAGGTATTCCCACTTAAAGATGGAAAGATTAAAGAAGAGCTATGGCACTAGGACCGAAGCTTCACGGCAACCCTACCAAAGGGCATTGCATGCTTTCCAATGTAATAATCTGCCTCTGAATTGGGTAATTGACAAAAAGTAACTGCCTGGGCCCTAGCCGGTTTGGCTCAGTGGATAGAGCATTGGCCTGCAGACTGAAAGGTCCTGGGTTCGATTCCGATCAAGGGCACATCCCTGGGTTGCGGGCTTGATCCCCAGTGGGGGGCGTGCAGGATCAATGATTCTCTCTCATCATTAATGTTTCTATCTCTCTCTCTCTCCCTCTCCCTTCCTCTCTGAAATCATTATATATATATTTAAGTAAAAAATAAATAAATAACCACCTGGTAGTTATTTGCACATTTCTGGGTAATTATCAAGCTATGGAAGGGTGAAAGTTTCAGCATATGTCTTGCAACAGGCCAACATGCGTTCCGTGACATAATTAATAGTAAGTGCTCACTTTGCTGATACAAAACTTCGTGAAATTATCACACAAAATTATAACCAGAATAAGTAATCATTTTTGAAATGGAAATTTTTTTGAGAGGAGTTTGTTTCCAGCTTTCGTGGGAGCCGTGCTAGCTCCCATTTAACAGCTGGCCAGTTATGGACTGGGATAAACGTGGTTTCATCTGGCTCAGCTCAAGACTCATTACAGGAAACTACAGGAGCAGGAATATGTTGCACCTGGGGATGGAGTGGCCCCCGCTCTCCTCCTATTGGGGTGACGGACACTCCAGTGAGCTTCCGGAAAGCAGGATGACACTGTAGCACTTGAGAACGCTCTTTTGCTTCCAGATTTAGAAGGAGAGGGGCCCAGGGAAGCAACTGAAAAGCCCAGCCAGTTGACTGACGCCCTTGGGCTGAATGTATCATCAACCAAATCCCAGGAGACACGGTAAATGCCAGGAAGCACAACACTGGGCTCCAAGACGAACTCCTGACCATTGCAAAATGGGTGCTTTTCAGAGCAAAACAGAAAGTGCTGGCTAGTTGGGGAAAACAACAACAACGCACCTTCTAGATCAGTGGTTCTCGACCTTCTGGCCCTTTAAATACAGTTCCTCATGTTGTGACCCAACCATAACATTATTTTTGTTGCTACTTCATCACTGTCATGTTGCTTCTGTTATGAATTGTCATGTAAATATCTGATATGCAGGATGGTCTTAGGCGACCCCTGTGAAAGGGTCGTTCGACCACCAAAGGGGTCGCGACCCACAGGTTGAGAACCGCTGTAGATAATCTCAGTGTTTACAACCACCAACCACCAACCACCAAATCTATGGGAAACTATGGACAGTGGGCATTTAAATTCTCCTCAGTACTATTACATAAATTAAAAATACATAACATTAGAATGTATGTGTACATGAATTTCCAAGAATTGCATGGAAAGTGAGAGTTAACATTGGCTACCTACAGAACTTTAAAGAACACCACCATTTAAGAACAAATATTAAAAAGAAAAAAAAAGGAATCACAAGGAAAATATAGTTATGGATATACCTGTCTTGATTTATTTCGATCGATTATAGCCACCAACAACAAATGAGCCAAACTGTTGCCAGGAGGACCCATCGTTGGCACAAATAATTTCAATTTCCTCCTGAAAATCTAAACTTGTCAAACCGATGGAATAATTAACGTTGATTTTTCTAACAACCAATTTGATAGCTCCAAGGCTGCCATGGGCTTATCAATTACAAAAAGCCCGAGGTGCACTCTCCCTCTGCGGAGCACACCTGAGCCTTTCCCTTCCCCCTCTTTTTCCCTCCAGGACATTACCTTTGCCTTCCTCCCTCCTCAGCTCCAGGGCCCTTCTTCTGCCTCTGATGCTTGTTTCCTGAGCCCACGCAGCCCAATTGGCTCACTTCTTTCTATGTCTGTAACTCTCTAAATAAACTTCCTCTTATAATTTGGAAAAAAAAAAAAGCCCGAAAGTCACAGAATATTCATGTACATAAACTACTGTACTTACCCATTATCCTCAAGTCTCTTCAAGGATTCCAAAACTAACGAATGAACACTGTCTAAGGAGCAGGATCCAAAGCAATTTAGGGTTGAAATAAATCTAATTTTCATAACCCAGTCATTATGTAGCTTCCTTTTAACACTGGGAATTAAAAGGAAAAAAAAGGGAGGGATTATGTTAGACACACAAACACATCATGTTGAGTGTCTATTTGTCATTTCAACTTGACTTTCATCAAAGTGCAACTCTGAATTGGAGTAGAGCCTGCATATATAATACCGCCCTATGCATTATACCACTTTTAATTATTTAATTAAAATTTCATAACCTAAATCATTTAAAATGGAAAAATAAAAGATTATCATCACATTTTGAGCTATAAGTTCAGAATTTAAAAAATAATATAGAAGAATCTCAGTCCCATATTGGTACTATATTCTTTATTGAAAAAATTCTGATCATCCAGATGAAGAGCTGTGTTTCATATTGTTTTATATCTCATATGAGTCTATTCATTTTTATATTTTCCAATGGCTATTGATCTTTAAATCAATAATTCCCCTATTGATAGACACTGGATATTTTACTATTAGAAATAACACTGTGGTGCTTGCTTCAGCAGCACATATACTGAACTTGGAATGATACAGAGAAGATTAGCATGGCCCCTGTACAAGGATGACATGCAAATTCGTGAAGCATTCCATATTTAAAAAAGAAAGAAAAAAAGAAAGAACACTGTGCCCAGCCAGCATGGCTCAGTGGTTGAGCGTCCACCTATGAACCAGGAGGTCACGGTTAAATTCCAGGTCAGGGGACATGCCCAGGTTGTCGGCTTGATCCCCAGTAGAAGGCATGCAGGAGGCAGCTAATTGATGATTCTCATCATTGATGTTTCTCTCTCTCTCTCCCTCTCCCTTCCTCTCTTTGAAATCAATAAAAACATAAACATATATATTTAAAAGAAATAACACTGTGATAGATATATATTTTAACACACGGGGACCCCAGGTCCCAGTGCATACATGTTTATGAAGGCACTTGATGCATCTGCCCAAGTGTTTTCCACAAAGGGATCCAGCTCATAGCCACCAGCACCAGTAGTGGGTGAGTCTGCCCATCTCATAGCATCTTCCTCATGTTTAATCTTTTCCAATTTTATAAGAGAGAAATTATATCTAATTTAAAGTGGCATTTCTTTGACGAATAGAGAGGACACATTCAGTACAATATTTGTTTCTCTGCTAATAAGAGAAATGTATAACTTAGTGTGAAATCTTCAGAGACACGAGAGTTCTGAAGAAGACAATGAAAGTCACTCAGGACCTCATCAGTTGGAGATAACTGTCAGCAGCATTTTTGCCTGATGAGCATTTGGAAATGTGTCTTGACTATTTGTACCGTGTATGTGCATGTGTGTGAATTACCTGTTCATGACCTTTGTCCATTTTTTTCTCTGGGGGAATTATTTTTTAAATTGAAGTCTAAGACCTAAGAAAGAGTATTAACCTATCGTTTGTCATATTGCTTATACATATTTATCCAGTTTATTTACTTTACATAGGTTATCTCTTGAGGCCCACAGGTTTTATTTTGTGTTGAGTCAAATCTATCAAACTTTTTTCTTTGAATTTTATAACCATTGCTCTTGTTTAGAATCTTCTTCAATATTTAAATGTTAGTAAATAGTTACACAGATCTTTTATAGCTTTCCATAATTTAATTATTATTATTTTTTAAAAATAATTTTATTGATTTTTTACAGAGAGGAAGGGAGAGGGATAGAGAGTTAGAAACATCGATGAGAGAGAAACATCGATCAGCTGCCTCCAGCACATCCCCTACAGGGGATGATGTGCCCGCAACCAAGGTACATGCCCTTGACTGGAATCGAACCTGGGACCCTTCAGTCCACAGGCCGACACTCAATCCACCGAGCCAAACCGGTTAGGACATAATTGAATTTTTTATTTAACTCTTTAATTTATTTAAGTGCCTATAGATTTTAATTGTCAATAACACTTAGAATATGAATTTCAGTGGCTACTTTTCTGTCTGTCTTCCCTTAGTATTTTAAGTCCCTTGAGGTATGAGGCATTCCTCATTCAGTTTGATGTTTCAGATCTTTACCCTGTGGTCTGACACATCCTTTTGACTACATAAATATTTTTGTTCTTATTGTTGTTGTTTTTTTGTTAACCCTTATCCGAGGATATTTTTCCATTTATTTATTTATTTTTTTAGGGAGAGTGGGAGAGAGAGGGAAAGACAGAGAGAAACGTCGATTTGAGAGAAACACATTGATTGGTTGCCTCCTGCAGGAGCCCCGACCAGGGCCGGGGGCCAGGGAGGAGCCTGCAACCAAGGTATGTAACGTTGGCCAGAATCGAACCCGGGACCCTTTGGTCCGCAGGCTCTATCCACTGAGCCAAGCTAGCTAGGGCTTACTTAACTACATGAATTCTTGAACAATGTCTATATTAAAACAACTGGACCACCTGTGTGATATACTGACCTTTTAAAGTCCTTGGAGTCTAAGACCTGATTTTGTAATTTTTTTTTGGTCTTTGTCTGCTTTAACCCAAAGTCGTCTGTATTCACGGTGAATTTGTTCACAAACCCGCCATCGTCCCCCAGCAGGATGTCATCTCGGCAGAGCTGGTCGGACATGGGCACCGCACACACGCACAGGAGGCAGTGGTCCATCGGCTTTATGACGAAGTAGTTTTCCTGGGAACAGAAGAGCACTTTTCATAAGTTATTGCATCGCTCCAAATATCTAAATATTAAATTTAAATACTGTCCCTATTGTTTTAAAACATTTTTAAAATTGATTTCAGAGAAGAAGGGAGAGGGTGAGAGAGAGAAACATCAATGATGAGAAAGAGTCATTGATCAGCTGCCTCCTGCATGCCCCCTACTGGGTATCAAGCCCACAGCCCAGGCATGTGCCCTGACCAGGAATTGAACCGTGACCTCCTGGTTCATAGGTCGATGCTCAAACACTAAGCCACGCCAGCTGGGCTGTCTGTATTGTTTGATAAAAGTTTTACTTCTGGCCCTAGCCAGTTTGGCTCAGTGGATAGAACCTCAGCCTGTGGACTCAAGGATCCCAGGTTCGATTCTGGTCAAGGGCATATGCCTGGGTTGCGGGCTTGATCTCCAATCGGGGTGTGTGCAGGAGGCAGCCAATCAATGATGTTCTCATCATTGATGTTTCTAATTCTCTCTCCCTCTCCCTTCTTCTCTGAAATCAATAAAAATATATTTTAAAAAAAGTTTTACTTCTGATATTTCTTATTTTAGATCTTTTCACAGTGTTAAAGAAGCTTGAATGAAACATCAAGTTAACTAAATCACTGTGAGCCCTACAGTGCATTTGGGGCTGTTTTGTGGGGAAAAGGTGAGGTGCTTGCCTGTGGCTCAGGAATGGTGAGATTCTCTGATGTAATTCTGTGAATGTCCCTTTCTTGGGTTTGTAAGGAATATTAACAGGAATCGTAAAAAGGTTCAGGTGTTAAAAGACCATTGACACAAAATTGGATGGCAAACAGGAAAGTCAAGAATCCAAGTCCCAGTTATTTCACCAGGAGTAATTAGGGGAAAAATAGCCTAACATCCAGGCTTATCCAGAATTAGTCACAAGCATTTGCCAATGCCACACTGGGTTCCCTAGGCTATAAAGCCATTGCTCTCCTGGAACTCAGTCTCTACCTAAAGCAGAAAACATACATGTTTTAAAATTTTTATTTGTTTTGTTCCCTTTAGAACAGCGGTACTCAACCTGTGGGTCGCGACCCCTTTGGGGGTCGAACGACCCTTTCACAGGGGTCGCCTAAGACCATCGGAAAACACATATATAATTACATATTGTTTTTGTGATTAATCACTATGCTTTAATTATGAGACTTGGACATTTTAAAAATATATACTTTTATTGATTTCAGAGAGGAAGGGAGATAGAGACAAACATGAAAGATGAGAGAGAATCAGTGATCGGCTGCACTCTGCCCTGATTGGGAATCCAACTATCTCCTGGTTCATAGGTCGACACAACCACTGAACCACATTGGCCGGGCTTCGCAGATTTTTTGCCAGAACAAGGCGTTTGATTTGAGCAATTTTCTTACCAAATGAAGTGGGACTGGAGAGAAAAGCCGTGAACTTGATAATATGAGCGTAGGCAAAAAGCTAATACTTGGGTTCAGAGAAGGGCGTCAAAGGAAGAAAGGAATCAGCCTCTATCAAAAACAAAAACAAGCCCGGTGGGTGTGGCTCAGTGGCTGAGCATAGGCCCATGAACCAGGAGGTCAGGATTCCCGGTCAGGGCACATGCCAGGGTTGAGTTTCGGGCTCCATTCCCAGTGGGGGGTGTGCAGGAGGCAGCCAATCAATGCTTCTCTCTCATCATTGATGTTGCTATCTCTCTCTCCTTCTCCCTTCCTCCCTCTAAAAGCTATAAAAAATATATTTAAAAAACAACAAACACAACTAATAACAAAACCCAATACCCCCACATTAAATACACACTAAGTGGAAAATATTAATAGTACTGTTAATGCTGAAACTGATTATTTAGTTAAATCCCCTCATTTTACATATAAGGAAACTGATCTTCCATAGACAAAGGTGGTGCCCATATCCTCCCAGCACAAAAAAGACAATCTCATTCCTTTGAGTATTTCTCTCCATTCGGTACCTGGCTGCTCCCTTGAGCTTTATAATCCCACACAATGATGGTCCTTTCTGTCGTGGCAACAATTCGCTTCAGCTGAGTGAGGTAGTCACATCCTGTAATCCAGGAGGTATCCTGATAGGAAAGC